GTGGAAGGGGGGAGGGGAACAGGGGGAGAGGGGGAGAGGGGGAGGTGGGGAGGGGGGGGAGGGCAAGCTAGGTGCGCTCGCGTCATATCTGACATCCTACCCCTCCCTCCCATCCCTTACCATGGCGTAGATCCCCTCTCTACTCGCACAGTCGGATGTCGACCAGGGCAATGATCCCGAAAGGGTACGCGATGCATTGTAGAGCACGGCATGGCATGGCGTAGAAGAGCACCGCAAAGCGTAGTATGTCACAACTTGGCGTGGCGTGGCGTAGTGAAGAATTGCATCACAAAGCTTTGCAACGGAAAGTATGGCATCGCAGAGCGGCCCCGAACAGAACATTGCATAGCGTGGCGTTGAATATCAATGCGTAGCATGGCATAGCGCGACGTGGCACTTAAGCACTGCATATCGCAGCTTCAGCTGAAGGCATGGCATCGCGCAGCGGAACGCAACCTAGCATTGCATTGCATGCCGTGGCATGGCGCGGGAAATGACGCCAGCGCTGCAGCGGGAGCACGATTCGGAACGAGCGGAAGCGCGGAAATGACGCCAGCGCTGCAGCGGGAGCACGATTCGGAACGAGCGGGGCCCGAAAATGAGGCTGGCGCCGCAGCGAGAGCAGCATTTTGAAAACAAATGCAGGCGAAAACCCCACTCCGGGGAAACCTGTGTGTTAAAAAACAGTACGCGGGGGGGTGTCGAGCACTTTCAAACAGTCATCAGGGGAAGGGGGAGAATAAGGGGGAGGGGGAGGGGAGGAGGGGAGGGGAGGAGGGGGAGGAGGGGGAGGTGGAGGAGGAGGGGAGGAGGGGGAGGAGGGGGAGGAGGGGGAGGAGGGGAGGAGGAGGAGGGGGAGGAGGGGGAGGAGGGGAGGCGGGGGAGGAGGGGGAGGAGGGGGAGGAGGACGGTCGAGCGACGGCCGGTCCGCCCCTGTGCCGTTCCAGCCCGCGGGCCGAGCAGGAGGCCGCAGGCCCGGAGCGCAGCGATGCGCTCTGGCAGGACCCGCGTCCGCGTGCTGGCAGGAGCAGCGCTGCACAGCCGTCGCCGTTCGGCACGCTTCCCGGCTCGGGCGAGCTGAGGTTCGGGCCGGGCGAAGGGGGGGGATTGGGAAAGGGGGGGTTACGAAGTTTGCTGCGTGCAGCTGGTTTCGGCCTCACCGAGGGGCCCATTCCTCGATACATCGTCGCCTCCGGCGCCGGGAGGCGCCGGGAAAATCAGCTGCGTGAGCTGATTCTCACCCCCCCCCCTTTGCTATCCCCCCCTTTCGCCCGACCCGAGAGGTCCTTCTTCAGAAGGCCGATCGTCGACCTGCTGGTGGTCACCGCCGTGTTCGCAGGCACCGTGGTGTATGCCGTGAGCACGATTGTCGAGGATCCTGCCACGTCGAAGGTGATAGCTTATTTGGAGTTTTCAGCGCAGCTGGTGTTCCTTTTTGAGTGGCTTCTGCGCTGGTACAGCCAAAATTGTCGTCCGTCTTATCTCCTCGACGCGTCAATGATCATCGATGGTCTTTCGTTCTTGCCATTGCTCTCGATTGCCGCGGCGAACAGCACTGGCTTCCTGACCAGCGGTATTGGTTTTCTGACCAGCGGTTTCGAGCCAGGAACGACTAATCTGGCGCTCTCTTGCCTGCGCCTGGCGCGGATCCTGCGACTCCAGCGCTTCCTGCGCAATCGCCGGTCTGTGACGTCCATCCTTGGATTGCTGGGGCTGGTCAGTCCCGACGACCTCGCTACCCCGCTCCAGCTGCAGGTGGCACGGAGCGTCGTCACCGCGGGGACTTTGCTGTTTCTGTCCACAGCTCTTGTCTATCGAAGACGCCTACTGCGAATCACCGCCGCCCCCTGCCTTTTTGGAAGCGCCTATGTGGCCGAACGTTGAGGCCAGACACGCCAAGCTATCGGACCATGTGTTCCCCGAATCGATTTGGAAAGCCTTCGGGGAACACGTGGGCATCTTGAAGGTCATCTTGGCCTTGTGGAGGCCATTTTGACCCTTTCGGGCCTTCTTGGAGGACGTCTTGGAGGGCTCTTGGGCCGTCTTGGAGGCCATCTCGAGCGTGGAGGCCTCTTGGGCCGTCTTGGGGGCCTCTTAGGCCGTCTTGGGGGCCTCTTGGGCGATCTTTGGGGGCACTTGGGCCGTCTCGGGCCGTCGGACGGCCGAACAAAAGCAAATGCCACAATCCTTCAAAAACTAGTGGGAAATTAATGATTTTTGACTTTTCGGCCCTTCCTGGAGGCCCTCTTGGGAGCCTCTTGGGGCCGTTTTGGGGGTCTCTGAGGCCGTCATGGGGCCATCTTGGAGGTTTCTTGGGCGAGCTTGGGCCGAACTTGGGGGCCTCTTGGGCCGTCTCGGGCCGTCGGAAAGCCGAAAAAGCGCAAGTGCCCAAATCCTCCAAACACCTAAGGCAAATCAACGATTTTGGCCTCTTCGAGCCTTCCTGGAGGACCTCTTGGAGGCCTCTTGGGCCATCTTGGAGGCCTCTCGGGGGCTTTTTGGGCCCATCTAAGGCCGTCTTGGGTGCATATTCGGCCATCTTGGAGGCATCTTGGTGCCATCTTAGCCGTGTTGGAGGCCATCTTGGCCGTCTTGGAGGCATCTTGGAGGCCATCTTGGCCGTCTTGGAACCCATCTTGGGCGTCCTGGAGGCCTCTTGGGCCGTCTTGGGGTCCTCTTGGGGCCGCCTTGGGGGTCCCTTGGGCCGTCACGGGGCCATCTTGGAGGCCTCTTGGGCGATCTTGGGGCGAGCTTGGGGGCCTCTTGGGCCGTCTCGGGCCGTCGGAAAGCCGAAAAAGCGCAAATGCCCAAATCCTCCAAACACCTATGGCAAATTTGGCCTGTTCGAGCCTTCCTGGAGGACCTCTTGGAAGCCTCTGGGCCGTCTTGGCGGCATCTTGCGGGCCTTTTTGGCCGTCTTGGGCCGTCTTGGGTGAATCTTGGGCTGTCTTGGAGGCATCTTGGGGCCATGTGAGCCGTCTTGGAGGCCATCTTGGCCATCTTGGTGGCATCTTGGAGGCCATCTTGGCCGTCATGGAACCCATCTTGGGCGTCCTGGAGGCCTCTTGGGCCGTCTTGGGGCCCTCTTGGGACCGTCTTGGGGGTCCCTTGGGCCGTCACGGGGCCATCTTGGAGGCCTCTTGGGCGATCTTGGGGCGAGCTTGGGGGCCTCTTGGGCCGTCTCGGGCCGTCGGAAAGCCGAAAAAGCGCAAATGCCCAAATCCTCCAAACACCTAAGGCAAATCAACGATTTTGGCCTCTTCGAGCCTTCCTGGAGGACCTCTTGGAAGCCTCTGGGCCGGCTTGGAGGCATCTTGCGGGCCTTTTAGGCCGTGTTGGGCCGTCTTGGGCCGTCTTGAGGCCATCTTGGGCCGTCTTGGAGGCATCTTGGCGCCATGTGAGCCGTCTTGGAGGCCATCGTGGCCATCTTGGAGGCATCTTGAGGGTCATGTTGGACCATCTTGGAGGGCATCTTGGGGGCCAACGTGGCCATCTTGGCGCCATCTTAAGCCATCTTGGAGGATTTTTACCTAACAGCGAAGACTGATAGGTTTCTAATGGGCTAAAAAGAGAGCAGCACATTACTCCACAGGGGGGTCTGGGCAGCCGTTGGGGACGAGTTGGGGTTTGCCGGCGGGGATCGTTTTTCGCATACAGTCACACACTTCGTGCTCTTCGACCTCCCAGAACTCCATTCCCGGGCCACATTCTGAATGCCCGGAGCCAACTGTAGGCCACTTCGTGCTCTTCGACTTCCCAGAACTCCATTCCCGGGCCACATTTTGGATGCCCGGAGCCAACTGTAGGCCACTTCGTGCTCTTCGACTTCCCAGAACTCCATTCCCGGGCCACATTTTGAATGCCCGGAGCCAACTGTAGGCCACTTCGTGCTCTTCGAGTTCCCAGAACTCCATTCCCGGGCCACATTTTGAATGCCCGGAGCCAACTGTAGGCCACTTCGTGCTCTTCGAGTTCCCAGAACTCCATTCCCTGGGCACATTTTGAATGCCCGGAGCCAACTGTAGGCCACTTCGTGGTCTTCGAGTTCCCAGAACTCCATTCCTGGGCATGATTTTGAATGCCCGGAGCCAACTGTAGGCCACTTCGTGTTCTTCGAGTTCCCAGAACTACATTCCCGGGCCACATTTTGAATGCTGAGGCAGGCTGAGGCTGAGGCTGAGGCAGGCTGATGCTGAGGCAGGCTGAGGCTGAGGCTGAGGCTGATGCAGGCTGAGGCTGAGGCAGCCTGAGGCTGACGCCGAGGCTGAAGGCAGACTGAGGCTGAGGCTGAAGCAGTCTGAGGCTGAGGCTGAGGCAGGCTGAGGCTGAGGCAGGCTGGGATTTTGAATCTTAAGGGGAATGCTTCCAGATATGCTCCTACACATCGCTGTTAGGTTGCTTTGCTGGGGTAATTTTCCGGATTGAGCGCCTCTCTGGGTGGCCGGCGGGACGGGCCGAAGCCCCAGGGGGAGTTCTCTTGGAAAAGAACCAAAACCAGAACCGAGAGGGTCCAGCACGCCAGGCACCCCTGCGATGAATCGACAGGGGGCGGCGGATCTGATGGCCTTCGGCCCATCCCGCCACCATGCCTGGGTTGAGCGTCTGAAGCCTATCTGATGTTCGTTGGAATCTCGTGGGGGGCTTCTCTGGGCCTCTTGGACGCAGTTTGGACGCCTCTTGGGGGCCGTTTGGGGGCTTCTTGGGGCCTCTTTTGGGCCTCGTGGGGGCCTCTTGGGGCCTCTTGGGGGCCTCTTGGGGGCCTCTTGGGGCCTCCTGGGCGCCTCTTGGGGCCTCCGGGGGGCCTCTTGGGGCGGAAGGCTCGGATTTTCTGTTCGTGTTCCCTCTTTTGGGCCCCTTTCGGGGCCGTCTTGGGGCCCTCCTGGGCCGTTCTGGGCGCCTCTTGGGCTGTCTTGGGGCCCTCTTGGCCTCTTGGAGGCCTCTTGGGCCGTCTTGGGGTGGTCTTGGGGGTCTGTAGGGCCGTCTGGGAGTGTCGAGACGAAAAGGCGAGAATGCCAGCATCCTTCAGAAACCTAAGAAGAATCAATGATTTTGGCCTCTTGGGGCAATCTTGGGAGGCCTCTTGGAGGCCTTCGTGGGCGTCTTGGAGGCCTCTTGGCTCGTCTGGGGGTCATCTTGAGCGTCTCGGAGGGATCGTTCGGCGACTCGGGACCCTCTTGGACCGTCTTGGTGGCTTTTTGGGCCCTCTTGGCCCGTCTTGGGGCCCTCTCGGGTCCGAACAAGTCATGCGACGGACCGCGCCACGCCCCAAGAAATTTGTGCCGAGGGGCTCCGAACCCCTTACTAATTTCTCAGGAGTGATGACTGAGGCTTAGAGGGGTAGTGAGAGGACCTGAGGACACGCCCACTCCGTGTCCAGCGGCACGGGGGCGGACACTTGTGAGCATCCCGTCAACCCAGCGTTCCCCAATTTCTTCGTGACCCTCTACTTCGTCTTGTGCACGCTGACGACTGTCGGCTTTGGCGACATCGTCCCGATCACGCAGGAGGGCCGCTTCGCGGTGTCCCTGTCGATTGTCTTTGGCATCTCGCTCATCCCGCTCAGTCTTTCCAAGTTGGTGGAGGAGTTCTCGGCCGAGGCGCTGGCAAGCGAGGACAGCGAGGGCAATGAGGATGGCCCGCCTCCCATGACGACGGGCAGGTGGAATTGCCTGAGCTGCGGCGAGGTCTGGCACAGCGCAGAGGCGAACTTCTGTTTCCGGTGTGGAACGCCCTTGCGGCGGCGGAGGGCTGGCCTGTCCATCGGCACTTCGCAGAGGGCTGGCTTGTCCATCGGCTTGTCCATGTGGCGGAGGGTCTTGCAGTTCTGCAGCGCGGAGAGGGCTGAAACCGAAGATGGTGATGGGAGCCGCCTGACAGCTGCCAGCGACAGGGGCAGGGGAGAAAGGCTTCCGCCGTGCCTCCTGCTTTCGCGTCCTTTCGCTTTCCAATTTCCTCCACAATCTTCTTCTTGCTTGCACGTCATGTCGACCTTCCGCTTGCCTTCCCACGCAGACAAGCGACAATTCTCTCATTTCCCCGACTGTGTGTCCCATGCTCCTGCCCCCTTAGAGGACCGCCCTTCGGGGGCAGAATGCGGACCGCATCGCATCGCATCGTATATCCGTGGGTTCGGCGTCTGAGTTTTGTCCATCTGTGGGCGCGGTTGGCTACAGCTGCTGGAACCTCCCGCTGGGAAGCCGCATTCTGCACAGGCCTTACGGCCGTTTCCGCCGACCCTGAGAGTAGAGCACCTTGACCAAAGACAGTGGCGGCTTTAGTTCGAGGGCGAAGCTCGAGTGGCCTTCGGCCCATCCTGCCACTGCGCCTGGGTCGTGTTCCAGAGGTCTCGAGGACATTCTGGGGGCTGCCGGGGGGCTTCTTGCTTGGCTCATGGGGCTTTTCTGGCCCACTTGGGTGCGTCTTGGAGCGTCTTGGGGCCTCTTGGGGACTTCTTGGGGGTCTTGGGATCATGTCGGAATGGTTGGCTTGCGGCGACGAGGCGGGCTTTTTTTCGGGCGTTTCTTGAGGTCGTCATGGCGGCTCCTTAGGCCTTTCTTGTAGGCCTCTTGGGCCGTCTTGGACCTCCCCTCTTCCTTCTCCTTCTCCTCCTCCTTCCTCTCCCTCCCCCTCCCTCCCTCCCTCCGAGTCCTCCTCCCTCCCTCCGAGTCCCTGGACATGAGGCTGCAATACTACCTCGCCCAGGCGTACCGCATGGAGACCGAAGGGCGCTTTGGCCCCGATGTTTCGATTGATGTCACCCTTGAAGCTCGAGGCCGCCCGAAACGCGGAAGCGCCACCGGGGAGGACCATATCGCAGCGGAGATGCCACGGGAACTCAGTCCTCCTCCTCCTCCTCGTCCGCCGCCTCCTCTCCTCCTCCTCCTCCTCCTCTCCTCCCTCCTTCTCCTCCCCCTCCTCCTCCCCCCCCTCCTCCTCCTCCTCCTCCTCCTCCTCCTCCTCCTCCTCCTCCTCCTCCTTGGAGCGCTACCCCGGGGACGGCGGGCCCCCCCATCAACGACTGGGCACGGATCATCCAGATGTTCATCCCCAGGGAGCGCCGGCCCAAGCGGATGGCCGACTACCGAGGGATCTCCCTCCCGTCCAGCGTGCTGGAGTGGTACACGAATTGCCTCGTCATCCTGCACGAAGGCACATGTCATGCACCGCAATGGTCATCTCTTGGCACGTTTGGCTTCCGCACTGGCTGCGCATGCGCGCAGATAACTGCACCTTTCCGTAACCTTCACGCCAAGAGTTGGGAGTGGCAAGAAAAGTTCCCCATCTACACGTTCATCGGGGACATCCTGATGGCATTCGACTTCTTGCGGCCGGCGGCTGTCGGACGGTCCATGGAGCGTCGCGGGATGCACCCGCGGCTCATCGCGGGATTCTTGCGAGAGAGCCGTGGCTTGAAGATGATCCCGTCCTTCCACAACGCGCCCGCAGTCCCTGAGATCGATTTCAACAAGTGCGAGCGCATGGGCGGCACCGACACCACGTAAAAATGGAACATCGTTGCGGAAAATATATTTTAGGAGCTGCACCTGCGCTGGAGCGAGCTCGGGGGTGGCATCCAGTTGAACAAGCGCAGGTACTACAACTTGGCGTGGGCCGACAACTGGGTACTCACAGCCTCCTCCTTCCGCTCCTGAAGACGATAGTGCAGGACCTCACTTGGAAAATGGCCACACGGAGTTTGTTCTGGAAACAGAAGAGCCTGCAGATGATGACGCCTATCATCAGAGCTCCGGACTTCATGTCTTTCGATATGCCTTTCCCTACAGACACGGTGGTTGCCCAAGCGCCTGTGGGATTAGAAAACACGCGAGACCTACAGCTGGCGGGCTGGCCGGTCCCTATGCGGGTGGGGCTCTACATAGTACCCTGCGTAGACGAGACGCTCCTGCTCGGCGCGATGCTCAACCACAAGGGCTTCACGAACGCCGCCGTCGAACACCGCATCGCGCAAGCTATGAAAGGCTACTGGGCCGAGGATGTTTTTTTGAGGCAGCGTGTGGTCCATGGCGGAGAGGTTCAAGCGATTCTCCGAGGCATTCCCAGCCTCCGTCTTATATGGCTGCGAAGGGTGGGCGGTGACAAAGTCCATCGCGACTCCCCTGCGGCATTTCGAGGGAGGTCTCCTCCGCCGACTCGCACGCGCCAAGAAGCGGCCAAGGGAGTCACACAGCAGATTCATGCAGCGCAGCACGCGGCAAGCCCGCAAGATCTAACAGAAGATGGGGTACAAATTTGTGGAAGAGAGAATGCTCGAGCGGATCTACACGTTCATCGGCCAGACAGCGGACTCCCACACCTACGCTACAAAGTGGGTGTCGGACACCATGCGCGTTTTCCCGGAGTCCGAATGGAGGCGGCTCGCGGACTTCGCCAAGGTCGCAGAGGCCCATCTCTCCGGCTCGCAGAGGGTACTGCCCCAAGCCACGCGCTGGCGCCACAGACCAGGCTGGGCACGTGTTGCGACATGGGAGGATGAGTTCATCAACCTCTGGGGCTACGACTGGCGACAGCGCCTCGGTCCGCAATGGCACTCGTACGGGCGCGACTGGGTCGAAGGCGTGCTGAACCGCTGGGACATGAAGGGGAAAAGGCTCCGCAGGCTTCGAGACGCTCAGCGCCGAGCGTAGGCCGGAACAGCAGGGCAGCAGGCAGGTATCGCCAAGCGCCGCCAGGTCCACTTCGACGTTCACGTCGACTGGAAGGCGATGGAGGACCAGACAGCGCCCATCGCCATGGATGGCAAGGGCGACAATCAGACTGTGATCAACTGGGTCAACGGGAGAGCACGGTGCGACCACGGCCCGTCTCGCGCTCGTATCGCGACCCTCCAGCGCACGCTGTACCACATGCAGCGCACGGGGCAGCTGGAGACAGCGCACGCCGGCGCCGACTGGTTCCGCCACGAGCGAAGTGAAGGCAACCGGGAGGCGGACTGCTGGGCCACACGCGCCCTCGCAGATCGCAGGGGCGTATTCGTGAACAACGTCCGAGTCCACCTGCCCGAGTCCAGTGAGGACGCGAAGCTGAGATTGCGCCTCAGCTTCGACGGCGGCCGCCGGGGACGCCATGCAGCCTCCGGATTCGTCATCGAGGTCCTTGACCAGAACGACGCCTACCAGGTCCTGATGGCCGGCGGGCGCTATCTAGGCGGCTGTACAGTCACTTATGCCGAGCTGTCGGGCTTAGAACTCGTAGCACATCTTCTGCACAAGCTCAGTTGCCCCCCCCGGTGGTTGTGGCCAACCGTCACGACTTGCATCTAAAGCGAACTGCAATCCGATTTTCCAGCATCAGCCTTAGGCGAACTCGTCTTAGCGGGCGGCCATCCATCCGCACAGCCTCTCCTATTTCCCTCTCTCCTCTTTCCTCGTCCCTCCCTCCATCTCATCCCTCCCCTTCCTCCCCCGTCCTCCCTGCTCCCTGCGCCTCTCTCTCTCCCTCTCCCTCTCTCTCTCTCTCTCCGTCCACCCTCCCGACCCGACCTCGCGAGGCAGTTCCGCCCGCTTCGACCCGAGCCCGACCGACCGAGTTGAGGTCCTGCAGGGCCCGAGCCGGCCGCCCGAGTTGGAAAGGACCGCCCTCTCTCTCGGCCGGGCCAGACCTCCGCGGAAGGCCCCGCCCGACCCGACTCGACCCACCGCGGAAGGCCCCGCAGGGGAACGAACGATGGCATGACCACATCAAGACTTCGAGGTCCGCGCGGATTCCGCGGGTCCGCGTTGGACCCCCCCCCGCCCCGGCACGCTCCGCGCCGCGCGCCAGGGCGGGGGGTCCAGCGCGTCTCCGAGAAATCCGCGCGGACCTCCGAGTTTTTAGGTTTGTGCGATTCTTCGTTTCCCCGACCGCTCACGTTATTTCCTATTTCGGTTTTTAGGTTTTAGGTTTTTATGTTTGTGCCATTCTTCGTTTTTAGGTTTTTCGGTTTTCCCTACTCCGCCCGACCCGACCCGACCGCTCGCGTCAGGGGCCCGCCCGCCCGCTCGCCCCCCGCATGGAGCTGGAGGCCACCGCGCCAACTGGAGGACGCGCAATGGGTCATCGAGCGCGTTCCACTATTCGCAAAATGCCTACTCGCAAACGTCCGAAAATTACGCTGCCGAGGAACCCCACATACTTATATTATGGCTGGAGTGATGATAGCTGAAGTGAAGCATGTAAGAATGATGTTGGTGGCCGTTGCCACCCCCTGCGCACCCCTTCTTTTGTCCAGAAAGTGCCACGCCTGCTATGCCCTGGACGACCGTCGTGCATAGCGGCCGCGGTGAGGGACCACCCCCTGCGCACCCCCTATGGTGTCGAGAAAGTGCCACACCTGCTATGCCGACCACCCCCTGCGCACCCCCTATGGTGTCGAGAAAATGCCACACCTGCTATGCCTTGGACGACCGTCTCGAATAGCGGCCGCGCTCGGGGACCACCCCCTGCGCACCCCCCATGGAATCGAGAAAGTGCCACGCCTACTATGCCCTGGACGACCGTCTCGGATAGCGGCCCGTCTCGGATAGCGGCCGCGCTCAGGGACCACCCCCTGCGCACCCCCTATGGAATCGAGAAAGTGCCACGCCTACTATGCCCTGGACGACCGTCTCGGATAGCGGCCGCGCTCAGGGACCACCCCCTGCGCACCCCCTATGGTGTCGAGAAAGTGCCACGCCTGCTATGCCCTGGACGACCGTCTCGGATAGCGGCCGCGCTCAGGGACCACCCCCTGCGCACCCCCTAAGTGTCGAGAAAGTGCCACGCCTGCTCTGCCCTGGACGACCGGCGCGGATAGGGGGACCACCCCGTGCGCACCCCCTATGGAAACTGCCACGCCTGCTACGGCCTGGACGACCGGCGCGGATAGGGGGACCACCCCCTGCGCACCCCCTATGGTGTCGAGAAACTGCCACGCCTGCTACGGCCTGGACGACCGGCGCGGATAGGGGGACCACCCCCTGCGCACCCACTATGGCGTCGAGAAACTGCCACGCCTGCTGCTGGACGACCGGCGCGGAAAGGGGACCACCCCGTGCGCACCCCCTATGGTATCGAGAGAGAAAGGCCACGCCTGCTGCGGCCTGGACGACCGGCGCGGATAGGGGGACCACCCCCTGCGCACCCCCTATGGTGTCGAGAACTGCCACGCCTGCTACGCCTGGACGACCGGCGCGGATAGGGGGACCACCCCGTGCGCACCCACTATGGCGTCGAGAAACTGCCACGCCTGCTACGGCCTGGACGACCGGCGCGGATAGGGGGACCACCCCCTGCGCACCCCCTATGGTGTCGAGAAAGTGCCACGCCTGCTACGGCCTGGACGACCGGCGCGGATAGGGGGACCACCCCGTGCGCACCCACTACGGCGTCGAGAAACTGCCACGCCTGCTACGGCCTGGACGACCGGCGCGGATAGGGGGACCACCCCCTGCGCACCCCCTACGGCGTCGAGAAACTGCCACGCCTGCTACGGCCTGGACGACCGGCGCGGATAGGGGGACCACCCCGTGCGCACCCCCTATGGTGTCGAGAAAGTGCCACGCCTGCTACGGCCTGGACGACCGGCGCGGATAGGGGACCACCCCGTGCGCACCCCCTATGGTGTCGAGAAACTGCCACGCCTGCTACGGCCTGGACGACCGGCGCGGATAGGGGGACCACCCCGTGCGCACCCCCTATGGCGTCGAGAAAGTGCCACGCCTGCTACGGCCTGGACGACCGGCGCGGATAGGGGGACCACCCCCTGCGCACCCCCTATGGTGTCGAGAAAGTGCCACGCCTGCTGCGGCCTGGACGACCGGCGCGGATAGGGGGACCACCCCGTGCGCACCCCCTATGGCGTCGAGAAACTGCCACGCCTGCTACGGCCTGGACGACCGGCGCGGATAGGGGGACCACCCCCTGCGCACCCCCTATGGTGTCGAGAAAAGCTCGACACCCCCTGCGCACCCCCTATGGTGTCGAGAAACTGCCACGCCTGCTGCGGCCTGGACGACCGGCGCGGATAGGGGGACCACCCCGTGCGCACCCACTATGGCGTCGAGAAACTGCCACGCCTGCTACGGCCTGGACGACCGGCGCGGATAGCGGGACCACCCCGTGCGCACCCCCTAGGACCACGCCTGCGCACCCCCTATGGTGTCGAGAAAGTGCCACGCCTGCTACGGCCTGGACGACCGGCGCGGATAGGGGGACCACCCCGTGCGCACCCCCTATGGTGTCGAGAAAGTGCCACGCCTGCTATGCCCTGGACGACCAGCGCGGATAGGGGACCACCCCCTGCGCACCCCCTACGGTGTCGAGAAAGTGTGCCCTGCGCGCTAGCCCTGCGTGCTCTGCTGTGCTGTGCTGAGCTGTGCTGTGCTGTGCCAAGCTGAGCTGTGCTGTGCTGTGCTGTGCTGTGGTGAACTGAGTTGAGCTGAGCTGTGCTGTGCTGTGCTGAGCTCAGCTGAGCTGTGCTGAGCTGTGCTGAGCCAAGCTGAGCTGTGCTGTGCTGTGCTGTGCTGTGCTGAGCTGTGCTGTGCTGTGCTGAGCTGAGCTGAGCTGTGCTGAGCTATGCTGAGCAGTGCTGTGCTGTGCTGTGCTGTGCTGTGCTGAGCTGAGCTGTGCTGAGCTGAGCTGAGCTGAGCTGAGCTGTGCTGAGCTATGCTGAGCAGTGCTGTGCTGTGCTGTGCTTGTGCTGTGCTCAGCTGAGCTGAGCTGTGCTGTGCTGTGCTGTGCTGTGATGTGCTGTGCTGTGCTGTGCTGTACGAAGAGTGATGTGTGTGTGTGTGTGTGTGTGTGTGAGTGTCGCGGGTGCGGCGCGGCAGGGAAGAAAACCAGAACCCCACTAAGCATGTGGGGAAATACACGTCCGCGTCGATGTAATTTAGCGTCGATCCTGCGCGGGGTGTCCAGGCCATTTGCGAGTTGTTACCTGGTGAGTGGAACGCGCTCGTCTAAGGGGGGGGGGGGGACGATCAATGGTTCTGTTGGGCAGCGACGGCTGCCGAAAAGGGGCCCTCAGGGGTCCCTGAAGGGGCCCTGCAGGGCCCGAGAACGGCACCATTCTCCCCCTCTGCATCTATCGCCCCCACCCCATGACAGTGGAGACCCATGCCAAGAAACACCCTGCTTGCCTTCCTTGCTCTCGATGGGTTCGCCCTGGGAAGCGTCACGCCAGGAGTCAACGGACACCCTGGGGTTCCAGGTTTGGGTCTCTCTTGGAAGGTTTCTTGTGGTCGAGCTTCCTGCAGTATCGACCCTGGTTAGTTCGCGCCCGAGCAGAGGAGGCACTGCCGGGGAGGCGAAGCGGGCGCGCCTCGGAGGCCTTGGGCACACCAGCTCGAGCGGCGCCCGAACGGCCAGGCCTCTTCAGTGGCTGGCCGCCGCCGCTGCCTCCCGCTCGGGCTCCCGCTCCTCCTCGATCGCTCCTCCCTCCTCCTCCTCCCTCCTCCTCCTCCTCCCTCTACTCCTCCTCCTCGATCACTCCTCCTCCTCCTCCTCCTCCTGCTCCTCCTCCTCCTCCTACTCCTCCTCCTCCTGCTCTCCCTCGTCCTCCTCCTCCTGCTCCTCCTCCTCCTCCCGCTCGGGCTCCCGCTCTGCCTCCGGCTCGGGCTCCCGCTCCAGCTCTCCTGCGTCCGCCGCCGCTCCTTTTCAGTCGGGCCTGTCCCTCTACAGGGGGAATATCCAGAAACAGTAAAACAAAATAGTCGGGGGACGGAGTTTTGAGCATTTTTTGCCATCTTGGATTATTTTTGGAGTATTCTTTCTTTTTCGTCGAAAATCCCCCTGTACGGGGACACGCCCGACTCACCGCTCCTCCCCTCCCGCCCTCCCCTCCCGCCCTCCCCCCTCGGCGGCGATCGCCCCCGCGCGCGAGCGGGCGCGGGGGCGGCCGTGCTCTTCCTGAGCTTGGCCAGGGCCCCGAAGCACCGAGGGGATGGGGCCTGGCTTGGGGGGGGTGTTCGGCAGCAAACCTTCAGTCGGGCCTGTCCCGTCACAGGATTTTTGTTCTGCGGGGCGAGAGCGAACCTCCTCCGGCAAGGGCTGGGCGGGCTGCGCACAGCTCTAATTGGGGAGACAGGGCACGGGCTGGCGGGGCCTCCGGCGGCCGGATGGCGGGCCGGGGTGCAGGCGGTGCCGAAGAGCTTGCACAGGAAAAGGAACGCCTTGGACAGGAGCCGGAGGCGAAGACCCGGAGGGTGAGCGGTGCCTGTCCCGTTACAGGAGGGATGTTCAAAAATAGTCCAAACATAGTTTGGGGACTGCTGCTTGATTATGTTTGAGCATCTTGGGGGTATTTTTGGAGTGTTTTAATTTTTTCGCCCAAAATCCCCCTGTAGGGGGACAGGCCCGACTGAAAGCAAATCATGAGATCTTGGTATACCCTCTTGGTTCCGTTTTTAGCGTCGACTGGCGCCGGTTAGCGTCTGGGAGTCGATGCGGTAGCGCCGATATAGCGTCGGCCAGCGTCGATTTAGCATCGATCGGCGTCGACGGGTCGATAGGCGTCGATTCGCAGGAGCCGACAAGATGGTATGGGAGGCTCCCATGAGTTGCGACCGAAGTGGGGTGTAGGAATAGGGGGGGATGCATCGACCCCCAATCGTGCATTCGTCGCTGATATGGGGCCCGATGGCCCACCCCCGCCCAGGAAGGCGCTTGTGGCCTACCACCGACGAGTCCTCCACCGTGCTCCGAAGGGGAGCTGGTTAGTGATTGGGCCACGAAACCCCAAATATGGACTGGAATCACTCAACCATGTTTGCCGTAGCGGATTTTTCTCCGTGTGACGGCAGTTTTGGTTGGTGGAATGGGGCGGGGGGGTGAGGGGGGGCGTCTCCTGGTTCAGTGGAAACCCATGCCAAGAATCATCCTGCTTGCCTCCAGGGTGTTCTGGGTTTCTTGGGTTTCGATGGTTCTGCCATGGACAGCGCGATGTTCCCACACCAAAAATCAATGGACGTGCTGGGGTCTCAGGGTTGGGTTTCTTGTGGAAGGTTTCTTGTGGACGGACCCCTATTGTAGCTGGGCGCGCGCGCGTCGGCTCGAGCAGGCTCCAGCTTTTTGTGTCCTGCATCCTGAGCGATGGCATGAGGGCTGACGACATTCCGCCTTCTGTAGCCGCCGGCCAAGGATGGACAGGTCTCCTATCTGCTACCTGAGCAGCGGATACGGTGTCGTGTGGGTAGCAGTGTAAGGCATGAACATATGTGCTGATGAAGGCACGCTGTACTAGTGCAAGTTGTTTTTGCAGATAAGCGCACGTTTCCCTGTTTCTCTGTCGGTGTCTTTGTTATTTGTCTAACGCGTTTTTGTTTCACCCAGCAGGAATGCTTCCTTTTTTTTTGTTGCTGAGCAGTTGCAACACAGCCACGGCCCACACACGCTGGGAAGTTTTCTTCTCCCCCCCGTATGCAATCTTGTTGCTCGGACTGCGATTTGTTTGATGCAAGAATCCTCTCTGTGACACATTGAGGTCATATTTGTTATCATCTCTGGTGATGCAGCCTGGTTGTCCTTGTGTGTCGGCTGGCATCGTCTGGCAGAGCCTCGGGCAGCACTGATTATTTAACATCTGTCTTTTCCTCTTGGTTATTGCCTTCAATAAAGTTGGGTAGTTGACTCGTGGTTTTGTCTATGACTCGCACAGTTATTTCTGCATATGGCAATTTTATGCGGTTTCTGTGTTAGTATCCCGCCATTCAGCTTTTCATGTTCTCAGTACTATTCTAGATGCTTCGCGTAGCCCCACCAGGTTGGACGCCGCCCGACTGCTTTCGGTGCGGTCGCGATCAAAACAAGCCCCACCAGCCCATTCAGTCACGACGCCCAGACGAGTTGACCTGATCAGGGATGTGGAGGAGCATGCAGTGGAATGAAGGATTGGGCAAGACGTCATTCCCAAGAGGGGGATGATGGAGGAATCGAGGGAACAGGAGTAGGGAGAGCGGGAGGAAGAGGAAGGAGGGAGGAGGAGGGATATGCGGATGAGGAAGAGAAGGATGAGGAGGAGGAAGAGGAGGAGGAGGAGGAGGAGAAGGAGAAAGAGACGGACATTAATACTACTACTGGTAATAGCGATAATATTACGAGCAGCAGTAGTAAGCCTAATTAAAATATTATGTCCAATGACAATTCAGAGCAAAAACACAAACGATACGAATAACATCAATTGTCGTTCTACTAATAAGAAGGTTACGAATAATATTATTATTGTTAGTGTTACTAATAATAGTCGTACGGAAAGTAGTAGCAATCGTGGTATTATTTTTATTGAACACAATATCACCATTAATCACACTAATACTAACACTATCAGTAATCTTAGTCATGTTAGCTACAGTAATACTGGTACTAATCGTACTACGATTAAATCTAATATTGTTCCCAACCCTCCTTGTGCTGGGTACTCGTTTTGAATAGAGCACTGTGGTATCCACCTCCCGCCCTCTCCTCCTTCTTCTCTCCTGTGTTCGCGGTGCCCTGCGGGGAGGCCCAGCGGAGGTACGTCTTACGCAGATCACTTTGAGGCCTCCCTGTCCCTCCCCTGCAGGGCTGCGATCTGCGCAACTGTCGCCACTTTCGTGGGCTCCTGGGAGGCCCAGCGGAGGTATGTCTCACGCAGACCACTTTGAGGCCTCCCTGTCCCCTGGGGGGGCCGCGATCTGCGCAACTGTCGCCACTTTCGTGGGTTCCTGGGAGGCCCAGCGGAGGTACGTCTTACGCAGACCACTTTGAGGCCTCCCTGTCCCCTGCGGGGCTGCGATCTGCGCAACTGTCGCCACTTTCATGGGTTCCTGGGAGGCTCAGCGGAGGTGCGTCTCACGCAGACCACTTTGACGCCTCCCTGTCCCCTGCGGGGCTGCGATCTGCGCAACTGTCGCCACTTTCGTGGGTTCCTGGGAGGCCCAGCGGAGGTACGTCTTACGCAGACCACTTTGACGCCTCCCTGTCCACTTGGCGCACCTGGCGCGCACCTGGCGCTCCTGGCTCGCTGGGCGCACCTGACGCATCTGACGCGCTGGGCGCACCTGGCGCGCACCTGGCGCACCTGACGCACCTGGCGCACCTGGCGCACCTGGCGCACCTGGCGCACCTGGCGCACCTGGCGCGCACCTGGCGCGCACCTGGCGCGCACCTGGCGCGCACCTGGCGCGCACCTGGCGCGCTGGGCGCACCTGGCGCACCTGACGCGCTGGGCGCACCTGGCGCGCACCTGGCGCACCTGGCGCGCTGGGCGCACCTGACGCACCTGCCGCACCTGGCGCACCTGGCGCACCTGGCGCGCCTGGCTCGCCTGGTGCAACTGGCGCACCTGGCGCACCTGGCGCGCACCTGGCGCACACTTGGCGCACACCTGGTGCATCTGGCGCACCTGGCGCACCTGGCGCGCTGGGCGCACCTGGCGCACCTGCCACACCTAGCGCAGACCTGGCGCACATGGCGCACCTGGCTCACTTGGCGCGCCTGGCGCAACTGGCGCACCCGGCACACCTGGCGCAACTGGCGCACTTGGCGCGCCTGGCGCGCACCTGGCGAACACGTGGCGCGCACCTGGCGCACCTGGCGCACCAGGCGCGCGCCTGGCGCGCACCTGGCGCGCATCCAGCGCGCACCTGACGCGCTGGGCGCACCTGGCGCACCTGGCGCGCTGGGAGCACCTGGCGCGCACCTGGTGCACCTGGCGCGCTGGGCGCACCTGACGCACCTCGCACACCTGGCGCAGCTGGCGCACCTGGCGCGCCTGGCGCGCATGGCGCGATTGGCGCGCCTGGCGCACCTGGCGCACCTGGCGCACCTGGCGCGCCTGGCGCGCACCTGGCGCACACCTGGCGCACCTGGCGCACTTTGAGCATCTGGCGCACCTGGCGCACCTGGCACACCTGGCGCACCTGGCGCACCTGGCGCACCTGACGCGCTAGGCGCACCTGGCGCACACCTGGCGCACCTGGCTCAGTTGGCGCGCCTGGCGCACCTGGCGCACCTGGCGCGCCTGGCGCGCCTGGCGTACCTGGCGCACCTGGCGCACCTGGCGCGCCTGGCGCCACTGGCGCACCTGGCGCACCTGGCGCGCCTGGCGCCCCTGGTGCACCTGGCGTGCTTGGCGCAGCTGGCGCACCTGGCACACCTGGCGCGCTGGGCGCACTTGGCGCACCTGGCGCACCTGGCACACCGGGCGCACACTTGGCGCACACCTGGCGCACATTTGGCGCACCTGGCGCGCCTGGCGCATCTGGCGCACCTGGCGCGCCTGGCGCCCCTGGCGCACCTGGCGCACGTGGCGCGCTTGGCGCACCTGGCGCACCTGGCGCACCTGGCGCACCTGGCGCGCCTGGCGCGCTTGCTTCACCTGGCGCGCATGGGCTTCTGGGAGGCTTAGCGGAGGTACGTCCTAGTCAGATCACCACTATACCATGGCGCCGAAATGTCCTTCGGTATTGAGTGGTCCTGAATGCAATTGCCACTTGTGTATAAAAGGGTTGGGTACGTCGCAGGATAATTAATATTACTAATGCTCATACTACTACTAGTAATACTTAAGGAGGAGGAGGAGGCGGATGATGATGAGGAGGAGGAGGAGGATGAGGAGGCGGAGGGCGATCAGAACAGCCAGAGGCCTCTTGGATAACAGTCGGAGTCTTTTCGGATGCCTCTTGAGAGCTTCTTGGGGTCCTCTTGGTGCGTCTTATGGGCCTGTTGGCGGCCTCGGGGGCCTCTCGGACCGTCTTGTGTGCCTGAAGAGAGCCTCTTGGGGGTCTCTTGGGGGTCTCTCGTGACCTTCTGGGGGACCTCTCGGGGGCCTCTTGGGGCCTCCTGGGCACCCCTTGGGGCCCTCCTGGGGCACTCTTGGGAGCCTCGGGGGGCATCTTGGGGCTGTCTTGGAGGGGGTAGGGGTGGGGTCAACACACCCTTCCCGCCCTCAGATTGTCTCGCTTACACCCACCCGCCCTCCCGACACATGAGTAGCACCCGAGCCTCCGCGTGTTCAGCGGTCGTCTATCGATGGACAGCTACTCGGAACCGAACGCAGTCCCCATGTGCGCGACGCTGGTGCGAGGTACGCCACGCGTGCCAGGCGCGCCACGCGCGCCAGGTGCGCCTGGCACCCCTGGGGCCTGAGCATGCCAGGCACGCCTTGCGCGCCAGATACGTCACGTGCTTCACGTACGCCATTTTCGGGGCACGCGCAGAGTGTGCCAGATGCGCTCGCGCACATCGGGACACATGTCGGCCCCCATCGTCCTTGTCGATAACCAGTGCGCAATCGCGGCGGGGTGACCATCATGGTGTCTGGTGGGCCTGCACGCAGCAGGCAATATGCCAGCACCCCCGCGGTCCTTGTCAAACACCACTGCAAAGCGACCGCGGTGTGGCCGCGCATGATCCAAATTTAGCCGCGAAGTGCACTTTCTATGGTTTTTTTTTGACGCAGACGTTTGCCTTGTACACAGCAGGCAATATGATGCCCCCCCCGTCCCTGTCCAAAAGTGAACCTGGCACGACCTCAAGTAGGGGAACCCTTCATAAGTGGCGTTGCTCAGAATTGCTTGTTTTTGCATTGCTTTGCTTTGCATTGCTTTGCTTGGCATTGCTTGGCATTGCCTTGCATTGCTGGGTGTTGCTTGGCATGACTTAACAATGCGTGGCATTGCCTGGGGTTGTTCGGCATTGCTTAACAATGCTTGGCATTGCAAGCATTGCTTGGCATTGCTTGGCGTTGCTTGGCATTGCTTGGTGCTGCTTGGCGTTGCGTGGCATTGCTTAGCGCTGCTTTGCATTGCCTGGCGTTGCTTGGCATTGCTTGGCGTTGCCTAGCATTTCTTGGCATTGCTTGGCGCTGCTTTGCACTGCTTTGATCTGCTTGGCGTTGCTTGGCGTTGCTTGGAATTACTTGGCATTGCTTGGCATTGCTTGGCGTTGCTTGGCATTGCTTGGCGTTGCTTGGCGTTGCTTGGCATTGCTTGTCGTTGCTCTGCACTGCTTTGATCTACTTGGCGTTGCCTGGTGTTGCTTGTCGTTGCCTGGCGTTGCCCGGCATTGCTGGGAAACATAACCAACAACCAGGGCGGGGAACCCGAGTAACACGGGGAACCCGAGGAACCTCCGAGGAACGGGCAACGTAAGAATACGAGGCACAGGGGGCGGGGAACCCGAGGAAAACGGGGAACCCGAGGAACCTCCGGGGAACGTGCACAGTAAGAATGCGAGGCATTGGGGGCGGGGAACCCGAGGAACCTCTGGGGAATGGGCAACGTAAGCCGCCGAGGCACCAACCTTGAAGCAAGTACGACAAGCCTAATTGGGGAACGCAACAAAGTACTTGCGGGGCCCACTAGCATGACCCAAGAAGTTACCCCAGCGTGTATTTGGTATTCTTTCTTGACAGGGGTGGTGGGGTGTGTGTCGACATTGGTCCTGGTTGGCTGCCGGTCGTTGGGGGAGGGGGTGTTTTTTTACATGGGGAACAGTGATGAAAGTCTCCCCAGAAAGTAAAAAGGGGGTTGGAAGAGGAAACCCGCTAAACCACTCACGCCGTAGAATGCTGGTGGGACTTCTCAGTCAGCTGTCCTTGATCTTTCTTGTCTTTTCGCCATTATGAATGTATAATTTCCATCGGCGTTAAGCAGCAGCTTCCTTTATCCTTCGAGTCAGGTCGACCCTCAACAAGGCTGCTGTGCGTCCTTCAATGCTTTCTGTGGGAAGCTTTACAGCAGCTGTAAGGCGCATGCACCGGTGAGACATCATTGGTAGACAGACGTCCCCGCAGCGCTGGTGTTCATGTGATCAAGTTCCACGTATGATCTATTGCATTTCGTTGCAGTGCCCATCTCGCTGACGTGCGCGAGCGTGCATGCATTTGACGGCCTTGCTGAGGCATGATGAATTGCTGCTGGCGTTCGCTAGCAGCATGCAGCTCGACTGAGAAAGGGATGTGCGTGACTGGGGCGTAAGTAATGCATGGACAAGGGGTTCGGGGTGAGGAGAAATCACGTTTAGTTACATTTAGTTCTGACGCTGTGCCCTCGAGTTGCAATACTATGAGACTATGAGTGGGTGAGTGTAGCTATTTCTACGGCAGCACTCGATCTCGAAACATGCATGTCCACGCCACCCGCTTTCGTTGTGCGTGCGCATTACGGCGCAACGCCTTCACGATTCAGTAAGACGTGTGGCATGTGTAGCGATGGCTGCGGTGTTAACGTGTATTCCTCACTCCATCGATGTCCTTTTCTCTTATCTTCTCTTCTCTTCTCTTCTCTTCGCTTCTCTTCGCTTCTCTTCTCTTCTCTTCTCTTCTCTTCTCTTCTCTTCTCTTCTCTTCTCTTCGCTTCTCTTCGCTTCTCTTCTCTTCTCTTCTCTTCTCTTCTCTTCTCTTCTCTTCTCTTCTCTTCTCTTCTCTTCTCTTCTCTTCTCTTCTCTTCTCTTCTCTTCTCTCTCTCTTCTCTTCTCTTCTCTTCTCTTCTCTTCTCTTCTCTTCTCTTCTCTTCTCTTCTCTTCTCTTCTCTTCTCTTCTCTTCTCTTCTCTTCTCTTCTCTTCTCTTCTCTTCTATTCTCTTCTCTTCTCTTCTCTTCTCTTCTCTTCTCTTCTCTTCTCTTCTCTTCTCTTCTCTTCTCTTCTCTTCTCTTCTCTTCTCTTCTCTTCTCTTCTTCTCTTCTCTTCTCTTCTCTTCTCTTCTCTTCTCTTCTCTTCTCTTCTCTTCTCTTCTCTTCTCTTCTCTTCTCTTCTCTTCTCTTCTCTTCTCTTCTCTTCTCTTCTCTTCTCTTCTCTTCTCTTCTCTTCTCTTCTCTTCTCTTCTCTTCTCTTCCATCTTTGTCTCTCTCCCTCTGCCTGCCCGTTCTCTCATCTGTTGCCGAATAGGCCACCAGCTCAGATGACGTGCCCACCCCGGGCTATTTGTTCACTGAGATAGCCAAGGTCCGGGTGTGCTTTGCCAGCTCTCTCTCTCTGAAAGGTACGGTCGCGCAAGGCAGTGTGAAATCTCTTGCGCAATCCTCGTCCTTGTCCTCCTCGTCGTTCCCCTCAGTCGTCCTCCTCGCCCTCGTCGTTATCGTCCTCCCCCTCCTTTTCCTCCTCCTCTTTCTCCTTCGCCTCCAGCTCCTCCTCCTCTTCCTCCTCGGAGTGCCGCCCTCCATTCCCCTCCTTTTCCCTTCTCCTCCTCCTCCTCCTCCTTGCAGATAACTCCTCCCTGTCGCGCCCCTTGACGTGTCCGCCGGGCGGGCCTTGTGCTTCGCCTTAGACGTCCCCGCCCTTCACGATCCTGAAGCTTGAAGTTCGCTTCCGTTGGATGTAGCACAGGTCGTTTTCAAAAATGGGTCTCTCGCTCTGGCGCCGTGTGCACTCGCTCGAATAGTTTGCTGCAGTTACAAGATCGGATCACAGGTCGTTTTCAAAATTGGGCTCTCGCGTTAGCGCCAGGCACATTACCATCTACAAGGCTGTAGCGGGTCGTTTTCAGAATGGGGGCTCTCGCCCTAGCGCCTCGCACATTCATTTTACGCAGTGCTTCAGTCTCATTT